GGGGGGGGGGGGGGGGGGGTGTTTGAAAATTGCATGCACCAATGCACCCGGGCTAACGGATGGCTGTCTGGTAGTTTCCAGAGAAACGATCAAACTTTGAAATCGGATTTAAATATGCATTCCCCCATAGCGTCGTGTTTATGAACTCCCACAAGAGACCAATCCCATCGCGGGAACATGAGAAAATGGAGCAAATGAAATTTACTGTCCTCACGGTTCAAGTCCGATACTCACCCTCGCGAATATTCGAGTACGGATCTCCCACGTCGTTTTCATGGTAAATCACCGAGTGCAGAGTCTCGTTGATCTCATGCGGTGGAAAGTAATAGTGAGCCTTTTCGATGTACCAGGCGCCGCTGCGCGGTGAGACGATTTTCCCATGGAAAACACCATCGCTTATGCTGCCGAAAACGTGACTGTCGGGTTCCCCTGAAATGAAAAAAAAAAAAACAAATGAAGAGAAATACCGACTTGACATTGTTATCGGTGGCGACGATTATTGGCCTTCCCGTGCAAATTAGACAGCTTCCCTTTTGCTCGAGGGTTCGACTGTACCAATTAATTCGCCGGTGTGTGGCTGCCTTTACAAGGGCGACAACAAGGGCTCCTTTTCTTTTCCTAAGGGATGAAAATCGTAAGATCTCACAGATAGGCCAGATAACACAGCTCACTCGTCGCTAAGCAGACTGCTAGCCCACGTGGGTGAACCGCCGAAACGTTTGTCGTTCGTAAAATCGATTTTACCAAGGGGTCCGAATTTTCTAGCCTCTCGACGATATCAGCGCGAATGACAGTGGTACGGTGGTTGGGCGACGGGAGATGACTGAGGGAATTAAATAAAAGATCAGAAATGCGTTGGACGATGATCGAACTGATGGAGGGTGACTAAAACCCAGGACTAATCGCAGCCATTCCGAGGGATCGCAGTAGGTATCGTCAAACATAGGAGTCGTTTCTATAATGGCGACAGTGAGGTCACGGCGCGACCCTCGAATATGATAATCCCATGAAACGTGCCACGGGAACAGATAAGAGGATACAGAGTGAACGGAGGACGAGAGGCATGGGAGCGAGAGGAAAGGAGGAAACGTGTAAGGACGAAACGAGAAAAGAGAATAAAGAAGTTAACCGTAACACAGGGTGAGCCTACGGATCGCGACAATGGCCGCCGCTGTGAAAACTAATGTCAAAGGACCTTAATTTTAGATAAGTCCGTGAGGACGTTTTCAGCTGGGGGAAAAAAAACTTTTCTTAGTCATTCGCGGAGTTGGGTCGTTCGTTGAGATAGGGGATTAATGGTGGGGGTGAGAGTCAAAGAGAGGACCAAAAGGGACTTGGAGAAAAAACTTCTCATATCATTTTTATTTCTTTCTTTTTTTTTTCATCTTTCATTTTCAACTTCACGGACACTACCCTCCCTCTTTCACCCTGCTGGGAGTCTCGTCACTTCCGGTCTTTTACGTTTCGCTTCTCTCGTGGAAGTACAGATACCGAGGGGTGCAGAAAGAGAATCGGATAAAATTTTGTCGGGAAAAAAAAAAAGAGAAATGAAAAACATCCCTTCACTTAAGGGTAGTACATAACTTTGATGTATTTTCACGTATTTTCAATGTACGACCCACCCTTCGAATTGCACCCGCTCCATTCAACCCTCGACAAGACACTTAATACTTTTTGCCCATCCCTTTCAAAATACTCAGTTTTTTTAATATGAAAATAGGTAAAAAAAACGTACATCATTAAGCGAAAGACTCGACCTTTCGCGGATACTTGAAAAATTGTTGGACCTACGAAAATTCAAGTTTATTTTCGCTTCCGTGGTACGCGCGGTGTAATCCATAAGGTTTTCTCTTGCGTCGTACATTTTTCTAGAAAGGAAAAAAGTAGACGTCAAACGCGAAAACGTGTTCAGTTTAGAATCCCGTAAAGTAACAACAGGGAATTCCAGTAGTTCAAATACTTTACACTTTACTCGTTCAGGAATTCCATTTGATCCCCGTCAGCCCGACGCGACGCGGTTTCCAGGACGAAAATTCACGATCGTCTTGACGCGCGTCGTATAAAGCCAACGTGAAAGGCAACAAGAGAATCAGCTCGCACAGTAAGAGGGAAAGAGAGAAGCAAGAAGAACAGGAAGGCGAGTAACAACACCTGCGCTAGCACTTCCGCGTCGACGACCCTCTTGGTTATTTAAGAGTCGCCCCAGTGGACGCGAAAGGCAGGCAGGCAGGCAACGTTTTAAAGTTTAAGGCCTTCGTAAAACTGCTTTTAGCCTACAACGGAGAAAATGGTGCCGACGAAGTATACGTAGATAAACAATATCCAAATATAGATATACCCGATGCACGAAAAGCTCAAACAGCCCATAGCCATATTATAACCGTATAAGCACGTGTCAAATCGAAAATGATGTATGAAAAATTTTTTTTTGGGAATTTTTTCCTAAAAAAAATACCGATTACCTATGTAAGATAAGGTCTGGAACTCACCTAATAAATGACCTTGATAGATGTGTGACGTGTCCAGGTCTTCGATTTTACCGGAAGGACCCTCGACGATGAGGTCGTTACTGAATGTCGTAAGGTCTCTTTTCAATCTTATGTGAAAATTACGACCGTGTGAACGAAACTTAAGGTTAACTGCGTTATCACGCGTGACAGATCTCTTCGCCCTTAGATGACTCCGATGAACGTCCTCGGCTGGATAAGACAGCGTCTCGTAATGGCGTATGTATTCGTTTAGTCGGCGAGCTGAAACACGGACAAGAAACGCGTCATTAGTTAAACCATAGAAAAAGATGAATTTTTGATAAGTAAATCAGTTCGATAAAAATTATTTCTAGGGATATCAATGAAATTACGTGATTTAAATTTTTGAAAAATATCAGTCGACACATTTTGTCGCTTTACGAAAACGTATGGCTGATCCTGGTAAAATGCCAGAGATAAGCCGAGCATAGAGTCGATTCCTATTATTCTGTCCTTCCTTGGTAATATTACCGAGAAATCCTCTCTTAATGTCTCCCTGCATCTGGCAGTCCACATTCGACGCCGTTAACAAGACGGAGCGTCGAGGATCGACGCCGGAAGTGGCGTCGGTGTCGGTACTTGTAATTTTCTAGGACCGTCGCATGAATTCATATTAACTGACCTTATTCTTTGTTTCTTTCTTTTCTGTCTACGTATAATCTTGGACACTCACGGGAAGACCGCGTAGAAAGTATAGGTCAGTGTACAGTACCTGCCAAAAACAATACGCTGCACCGAGAGACGCGTGATAAGAAATATCCAAAATTAAAAACACACCACACAAATATTATATTTTTGTATCCTTCAAAATTGAACGAAAACCGAAACAATGAAGATTCTCATTAACGAGGGTCCGGTGAAAACAAATTCTTAAAATTTTTCACGTTCAACGATATGGTCAAAAAAAATCCTTAGTAGCCCGGATGCATCGACTAATTGGAGCGTTATTCGCGTTTAGCTAAAAAATGGTGAAACCTCAGATAATTGGTATTGGTCATGCGATTACGTAATCTCAGCAACCTCACGACCTATCTCAACTCTGTTTTACGTCCAGCAATGTATGCATACAGTATATCTATACGATGTAAAACTCGTCGAAATTTTCAAAGGCAACGAATATCGACGTATACGCATATCTACGTGGACGTATATGTGAACACGTGTAAACTGCAGTATGGCGGATGTTGCAAAAGAAATTTTTGTTAAATTCAGAGTCATCCGACTGAAACAACCGGTATCGGTACCCTGTCCCTATGACACGACGTTCATTAATGTCACGTCCGCTTCAGAAACTCGATCCAGTACCTATTCAACGAAGCTCACTATACCTACTATCCTCAAGCTGCATCTCCATGACATTCATGATCTCCTACGTACATCGTTCTTGAGTAATTTCAACGCGCCAAATTCTCGTCCGAGATAAATAGAAGATCGTACCTTGTACACGTAGTGGCACTCGCGTCCTACGGATACCGGAACTGCTCTGTAAAGATGCTGTAGGCACCCTGCACCTCCGAGGAATGTCTGAAGCTTGCGGTTATTTCTTTACGGTAAATATGAGAATTGAGACTTCCGGGAGAAAATGAGTGAACCCGCTCTACCGTAGACTGCTCCACTCAACTTTGACTTCCGGTTATAGAAACTTGAGAAATAACATCGAATGAATAACGCTTCGAGTATTTCGATAGCCAGTGAGTAATTTCATATCGAATACTACGAACGTGTATGTAGGTAGACAACGTATACGGGTATACACTATATCAATTGGCACTTCGGGTTTGAAGATGAAAGCTATACGATTCCGTGGACCGGGTGGAGGACCTAGTGAAGTTGAGATAATTATGACAAATTGCTGCTTCTTCCTCGCTCAAGTAGTAATAAACGGGGCGAGCATAAAGATGGCCGCGGACGAGAAGCGTAGTCGTGGAGCGGAGGTAGGAGAGGGTAGAAGTAAGTGGCAGTGGAGCACGAGGAGGTTAAAAGAATAGAAGGAGGTCTGAGAGGTGACGTAGAAGGAGGAATGGAAGGAGGAGGAAAAAGACGAAGGTACCGTAACTCGTGATATCGATCTGCGAAGATTCCATCCTTGTGCCAGGAGAAGGCGCTAACTCGTAAACAAGGATAATTAACGAGAGTCAAGAAACGCTAAAGGGGTTGAGGGGGGAGGCGGGGCGG